TAATGATCACTGCCGACAAATGATGCAGCTTGTCTACCACCACTGCATGGACAACCACGATGATTTACGGTGCTTGCACCAAAAGACCAAACGTGCTTACGAGGAGACCCACGAGTGATGCTAACGCCATCAACATAAACTGAATTAATTCCTCTGTTTAAGAAGCCATCAAGTGTATACTTCTGATAACCTCTGACTCGTCCACACACTTGAGAATACTTTAAACCCTGTGAAGGGACAGGTATAGACTGACAGCCGGCTTGATTCTTAGTGCAAATTCTTGTATTACTCTGTGTAATCAGCTGGAGTGAAGAGGGGCAGGTAGAAGAGGATTGAGTCATGTCAAGTTTTCCTAGTCTAGTCCATCCTCCATCAATGCCACACAAAGCTCCCATATGACAGTACACTGTTACAGTTTTATTATTAATATATAACTGGTAGCTACCTGATACACTTCCAGGATTGTTGCTCTTGATCTTTGCACAGGAGGAAAAGGTTGTAATGCAACTTGAGGCCGTTATCATAGCATCATTGCAGCTCTTTAGTGACTGCATGAGATCCCTATTAACTTTTTGAGAGCAGGCACATGATGACATAAGCTGCACATTCTCATAAACTGCTCTTTTGTTACGGCTGGTACAGGATTCCATAGCATTGATAACATTGATACAGCTTTGTAGAGCCTGGAGGAGACCTTTCTTTACTTTCTCATTGCATGCACAATTTCCAGCTTGAACTTTTACTCCAGCAGCATTTCTGTCAACACCTTGTATTGACTTTTGTGGTTGATATGATTCTTCTTCTGGTAATTGAGGAGGTTGCGTTGCTGGCATGATACCATTTTGCATGAAGTCATCACTCTCTAAGCCAAATCCCTTTCGATTAGCTGATGGTGCTTGTAAACCATACTCATCAAAAGCTTTCCAGGCTTCTTTTTGTCCTGTCTCCCAGTCCAAGTCTTCTTCTGCACTTCTTCTAGCTTCTGCCGTTAGAATAAACAGAGAAAGAAATACACAAATAAATTTCATACTGATGAATTATAAAGAGTGTATGATAGGACTGATAACACAGAGATACTATGATTGCTTTTTTATACCCATCCCAAGGCGAATTTCATGCTAATTTAATAATGATATTCATCATTCAATAAAATAATAGAGGATGCATGCTAAGTATATTCATTGCATAGATACCTTAAATGACTTTGATGAAAAATTAATTCGTTGGACGTCAGTCCAATAGCAGCAATAGAAAAAGGCTTAGTACCAGGAAACCGCTCTGGATTTCTTAACAGCAATCTTTCGGGTGACTACTAGACCCCATTAGATCCTCAAGATACTTTCTAAGCTTCCAAAAAAGGCCTCAAGAAGGTAGTAGCTACCCGAGACGCAAGGCAAGAAAAATGTTTTGTGCGGGTTGGGTACACGGTACTTAAAAGTTATGAACACTTAATTATCCTTTATAGCAGCTAGGAGTGATGAAATAAAGAACTGTAGTGAAGTTACAGCAGCTCATTTTCTTTTTTCTGCAGCAACTTCTGCTCTAAGGGAGAAGCTACTGGCTAGACAACACTATGTACAGTATGGGCTTAATAGAATGGTGTCAAGCAGCATTAATAATTATTTTTATGTTAAAAATGGTAAATAATAATTATTGAAGCAGCTGTTGTCTGTGTTCTCTATTTCATTTTTCTCTATAAATAAATTAATAGATAATAAAATAATGTCATAATAAATAAATAAACTAACCCTTCCTTTCTTTGGATTTTCAAATCCTTCTTCAGTCTTAGCCAGTTTGTCCCTCAGCTCACACAAATGATCAGACATAGCACTCAACTGTCCTTCATAACCACTTGATAAAGTAGTCATTTGATCCTAACAAATACAAGACACATATAATAAGCATGACAATGATATAATTGGTGGAGTGTACTACTGTACATGTAGACAATCTAAGTTAGAATTGAATATATATATTGATATTGGTTTCCCACAAAGCATGAGCGAGGCTAAAAAGCATGTTGCTTGTGAACCATAAAAGAATGCTAAGTGAGCTAAAAGCATGTTTCATGAGCTGACAAGCACTACAATGGTACATGTACATGGCTTTGGGGTATAGGCAGTGCAGGCCTAGGCATTGGGGGTCATTGCCTAGGTTAAAAATTAGATTGGAAGCAGAAACAATGCTATTTTAAGCCTATTTAACCCTTTACCACACCCCTTTAATTAGAATTGCCTAGGCTGAGTTGGACTTCTGAAGCCACCAAAGCTTTGGAACGACTTAAAAATTTATTAAAAATCAATTTTGATCAAACTTGCTACATAACATAAGAAAAATGTATGTAACAGATTCATTATTAAAATGGAAAGTTTTCCTTTACCCGTTTTTGGCAAACACAAGCACTTAAATGTAATAGAAATACCAGCTCAAGCACAATTCCTAGCTTTAACATAAGTGCTTAAGTACAAGAACAAGCATCCTCCACTGTACATGTACATCCACTTAGTCATTTAATTTACTATCGCATCTAATAAACACTAACTCTGTGAATTGTTTTATGATAAATGAAAACAGCAAAGAGCTTTGGAGTGATACCACTAATGGTTCTGCCATTACTGTTCTTCAAGCAAGCAACACATAATCACACAATGTGCTACTAAACTGTTACCGTATAGCGGGTTTCTTTCGTTCAGCCAAACTTTCATTTTCTAGGAGAAAATCCAATTTCGTGGGTTTTATTTTCGTCCTTCTGATCTGCAAGAATTAAGCCACACCCAACAACCCCACCCATAACACCCACGTGTGCATGTGTTAGTGTTAACCCGACGAAGATGAGCTCTGGATCGAGCTCTCCCACAGCAAATTTCATAGGCTTAATTTTCGCTTTTGGAGCTTGGAGAACGAAAAGAATGAAAGTTTGACCGAACGGAAGAATATTTATTGGACTGTGTAACCACTACATGTACATGTACATCTACATGTACATGTACATGTAGATGTACGTGTAGATGTAGTAGATGTACATGTAGATGTACATGTACATTATTCATGTGTAATTTTTGCTGTGCTTGAAAGCACTTTTGTAAATTTGTATAAGTAATAAAGTACAAGTAGGTACAAAGAACATAGATTACATGTATATTGAAAAGCAGGACTAAGAACTTTGAAAGCTGTGCTTATTTGTACTTAAGTACAAGCAACAATTAAGTACTTGACCCCATGTCTGATCTGCATTAGCATAATTTACTGATTCAATATAAATTACAAAATGCATCACAGTTGTTACCAAAATAGGCTGTGTAATAATTACTGCATTCTCCGATACATATCAAAGCCATAATAAAGAAAGTTTGAGTCACGTTAATAAACTGACCTGCAGTTGATGAATGCTCTCCCTGGCAGTCTCCAGCTCATGACTGAGGTTAGTTTTCAAAGCCACTGCCTGGTACAACTGCTTACTCAATGTGCTACACTGCACATATGGAAATAAAGCATAGTCACTTAAATAGCTATGAATGTAAACTCTACCTGAGATACTAGGAATATTAGCTTTCCATTTGAATGCTGAAGCTACGAGTACAAAGGATAACAATAACAACAACAACAACAACAATAATAACAATAATAATAATAATAATAATAATAATAATAATAATAATTAATGGTAATGAATTAATAATAATAATGTACATGTATGTACCTCAGAATTTAGTTGAGAGATGCGTGTTGTGAAATGTTTTCTTAATTCAGGATCCATAGATCCTTCCTGTTAAATAAAAGCACACACAAGGAAATACATTGTAATTATAGTTGTAATAAAAAGCTAGAGAGCTAACAATCAGTGGAATACACATACATGTATATGTACACATTATCAGTAACAGTGACATACATACATGTATGTGTACAATGTGCAAATACATGTACATGTGAATTTTTAAACAAACCTCATGTGAAGTGTTCTCACTGATTGGCTGACCAGTAGACTCGTTTGTACTAACAACCTTTGAGAGCTTCACTTTAGCTTTCTGTAGCTCAAACGCTAACTGCTCCTTATCCTAAACACACCATCAATAGTAAAATAATACACTAACATTACTAATATACTAATACTGACTAAGAACATATAATATACTAATAATATACTAATAATATACTAATACTGATATACCTCTAGTGTCTTCTGTAGCTGATTTTGAAGGGCAGTAATCTAAAAATAAATTAGATATACAGTAACAGTCACTAGTCACTATAAGTATTGTGTATAATTACTTGTTCAGAAAGGGCTTGGTAGTTATCACTTATTTCAAAGAACTCTTTACTCTGATGAATAGCAACAGCATGAGGCACAGTACAAGGAGTGCTCTGAAAAGAAGTGATAGCTTAAAATCAACATAATGTAATACATGATGCATTTGTAATTAGAACAAACCCACTCTAAATAAATTAGTTCATATTATACATGCATATGTACATGTACATGTATATAGAAATGTACAAAAATGGCTTTTTGTCGATATTCCAATAATCAATATTAACACGAGGTCAAATCGCCCACGCATTTGATTTAAAAATGACTGTACTGTACAATGGCCTAACATCATAATTGTAAACTAGCCTTCACTGAAATTAAAATAACATGTGGACACAAAAAGCCAACCCTTAAACATTCCTGTAATTAATGTACACGTAAATGTAATCGATACCTCATCAATCAGTTTGGCCTGATATCCAATTGCTCTGTTTCTTAGTCTTGATATCACAATGAAATTAGGAGACTACATTATAAAAATATGGTGACAATAAAATTTAAATAAATTATTTTAAATATTACTACATGCATACCTTGTCTGAGTCATTGCTAGTGCTTTTGCTAAATGCTTCCGAGAGCTCAACTTCATGTTGATTGAAAAAGCCAACAATCTAAACAATAATTATAAGAAATGGTGTAGCATTGGTTTTTGACAAAGTGGCTGACAAGCACCACAATAGTACATGGCTTTTGGAGGGCGCTTTGTCAGATTTCAAAAATTCATAAAAATCTAATTTTGATTGGAACATAAGTACATGTATATGCATGCATCAGGAAATGCAATAAAAATGAAGAATTCTCTTCTAACAATTTCGATTAAAATTGGCCAATTCCCTCCTAATGCCTTGTACTATAGTACAGGGTGTTTTGTGAGTAACTTTCATTAGAGATGTGCTGCAGTATTATACTGTACATGTCAGACATGGGGCAAGCACTTAAGCACTTGTGCTTATAAGCACTTTAAGCACTTTTTTGTAAATGCTTGAAGGTGCTTGCAAGCATTAATCATATTGCAAGCACTTGTGCTTGACTTGTACTTAAGCTCTTTTTAATCTAAATGCTTTAAAGCTCTTTAAAAGCACTTTTTAAGCACTAGTGCTTGTCTGTTTTATCAGTTACCACTAATATGGTTGTCATGCATGTGTGTGACATCTATCATAACATACGCATGAGACCTGCACCTTTAAAGATGGCCACAACCACGAAGAAGCTACCAAATTTTATTACTTTGATCTATTTGAAGATTTGAGTGGTACTTTAGAGCCTCAGTGCCGCAAGCATTGCCTTGAATTATAGATTGAGTGCTTTACTTGTGCTTTAAGCATTTTTAACAGTGCTTTAGGTATTGCTTGAAGCACATCTTTATTTACAGCATTAGTGCTTGTGCTTGTGCTTAAGCATTTTCACAAGTGCTTTAGATGTGCTTGAAGCACATTGCTATATTGAAGCATTCGTGCTTGGCTTGTGCTTAAGCATTTTCCCCAGTGCTTTATGATGTGCTTCAAGCATTTTAGAAAGTGCTTGCCCCATGTCTGGTACATGTACATATTACATAAGTACATGTACATGCATGTAAAATTTAAGCATCATTTAAATTTTAATGGGCAAAATCTAAGAGTAGTACAAAAACTTTCATCTTCAATTGCATTTTAGATAATCAACTCAAAAATTAAGAAACAGAAAATAATAATTACCCTTTGTGAGTTTGAGCACAGCTGTGTAACTGATGAAATGATGCACTCATTCAAAGTTATTAGTCTCTAAAGAAGGACCAATCACACATGTACACACTAATGCAATTAATGTATAGCTAACAAACCTGTTGGATATTGGGTAGCAAGTGTTCCTGTGTTACCTTTGAATTAAAATGGTTAGCAATTTCTAATAAAAAAGATAAAAAATAGTAAGAATACAAAAAGTCAAAAATTAAAATTAAAATACAATTATTAAAATTCATATAATTACTTATTAAGTTATCGTGGAATGATTGAGAGCAAGACTTCATGTTAACTAGTACAGTGCTAATGGCAGCTCCATCAAACTGATCTACATTGTAAATAAACATTAATACACGTGTACAATAATACATGTATATCGGGGAATTTATGCGCTACTATATTTTTCATAAATTCTATCAAAAATAATTTTTGTAAAGTTGCCTAATTTTAATATTTTAATACACGAATGCATGTCTATGAGCTAAACGCAAAATTCAAATATTCAATTTGTAAAAAAATGGCAAATTAAAATTACCCTGTACTGTAGCATTAATTATAGTATATGCATGTGTATACAAGTACAAGTAAACATTATACAACTGTACATGTACATGTACGTGTATGACACACAGAAAATGATTAACAAATGTACCTACATGTATATACACATGTACATGTACTGTATAGCAGGTAATTTTGGAGGAAATTAAACTTGGCGAATTTGGCGTTTTGATAGTCATTCGCCAAAATAAAAATCCGCCATTTTGAGCTATTATACGCATGCTCAATGGCACGTGGCCACAAATTCACCAAAATTGAAATCTGCCAATTACCAAAATTTAGCAATTCGCCAAAATTTATCCCCCCAAATTTACCCACGATACGGTAACTTTAGTGGAACACAAAATATTACAAAATTAGTTTATGTGAAATTGTGAATGCATACATGTACATGTACAGTATTTTCATCTTACATGTTGCCAGTGCTTCAATATACTCAGCAAAGGATTGCATCAGTGCCGGGATCCTCCTCACACAGTCACTGATATCAGTGTTAGCTTGAGAGAGCTGAGGAGTACAACCAGTCTCAGTGCTCTCATTATTAAACCTAAAAAATGATAATACATATATGTACATGTGTATGTACATGTACATGTAAGTTAGTACCCTAAGAATGATAATATACCATACAATATGTGACCATAATTGACAAAAGGTACCTTATGGCGGATTTCTAAATTCATCATTATAATGAAAAATATCAACCTGTGAGTGCTTTGTTAGACAACCATTGTTTCTAGAAGTTATATAGTAACTTTTTGCATCCTCTGGAGTAATTTTATGATTAATGGAGCTCAGGAAGGTGGATTTTTTAGGCTATAAAGACCAATTTTCCTATCCGCCATAAGGTACCTTTTGTCAATTATGGTCACATATGATTTATTGGCGAGGAATTAATATTGGCGATTGGTGGTTCTATGAAGAAATCACCAATATAAAATCCACCATTTTTGTTTCAACTTTCATTCTGAGCATGCTCAAAGGCACGTGGCACAAAATCGCTAATATAAAATCTGCCAATTTCTTTCTACAGGCAAAAACACCAAATATTACTTCTGCCAATAAATCATCTTGTACAGTGCTAACATGAGTTGTATAGCAACATACACTGTACATGTACATGCGTATGAACATTATGTAAAAAATAAATGTTAATAAATTCTAATGTGACCTGCAACCTAAGCAAGAGGCGTCTACTGTACATGTACATGTACATGTGTGTATACAATAAAAAGCAGATACATATACAATATGTTCAGAGTCATACAGTAACAATATACTTACCTTAAAGTGAGATAAGTAGCTAAGATATGGAATTGAGAACAAACTACTTTTAGCTGCTTCTGGAACTCATTTAATGTTGTGCCATCCTATACCAACAATATTGATAACAATTAATAATATACATGTACATTTGCGTGTATATGTACATGTACATTTACATAAAATGGGATTGTTACCTTTAATGTTGTGCTGTCGTTTGATACGTAGTATTGTTGGACAGAGACTGTGAGAGAGTCGAGAAGAGATTTAAAAGAATCAACAGATTCGCTAAACTATAAAAATAATAAAATATAATAGTAATTAGTCTAATTACTATGTTCCAGTTACATTGTACTTGTAATGTACATGTACATGTTACAATTGTAATTAATAATAATACACGGTGACATAATTGAAGAACTTAAATAACTACGTGTACCTGTACATGTAATACGGGTGGTTGTAGTGAAAGTCCACCAATATAAAATCCATCATTTTTATTTTACTCTGAGCACATTCACTGACACACATGGCTGCAACAAGAAAACTGCCCATAAAAATCAGCTAATTAATTGCAAGTTTTTAAACAAATAATTATTGCAAAATTAAACTCCCTGACTATACAGTAACACTCCTTACCTCATGACTAATAATTAATAAATACTGTACCTTATCATCAACTGGTGATACATGAGGTGCCTTCCTTCCTGTAGTGCCAAGTGGATATGCTACACATCTCTACAATATAAAATAATAAAATTAATAAAATAATAATAATAATAAAATTAATATTACTATCAAACATGCCATATACAAATGTACATGAAAGTGAGTGGATAATAGAGATTTCACAGATTCTTTTGTAGGGTGTCTATTTCCAAAAGTGGCTCCAAAACCACCCCAAATTTTTATTACATTTTCTGATACATATTGATGTCCTAATGCTCTGTAAAAAGTTTGAGCAGATTCCGACTTAAATTTTTTGAGTTATCAACATTTTTAGAAATGAGCCAAATTCTGAAAATTGCCCTGTACTATAGCCCATGCTTTTTTTTCAAAAAATGGCTAAAAAATCACCTCAAATTTTTATTACATTTTCTGATACATATTGATGTCCTAATGCTCTGTAAAAAGTTTGAGCCCATTCCAAATAACACTTTTCAAGTTATAGTCAATTTTAAAATTACTACTAAGAAAGTGCATGTACATCTACATGTACATGCATGCATATTACTGTCATACTGTGTATTTCAAATACAACAAAATTATGGAGTAAGAAACTTAAAAAACTACAAGTTTACAAAAAGTACAAATAATACTAAAATTAATCTTAAACAACAATTGACTCTTACTTGCTGAAGATATGATGAAAAAGATGCCAAATGATCCAGAAACTCCATCACAAGACCCTTGACTGCATTGAGAACCACAGACTGCTTAGAATCAGCTCCTTTACCAATATTGGACACATTCAAACTGAGTACATCTTTATCTACATGTACATGTACAACAATTAATAAATGAATGGAATTCCTTTTATTATAATTTAAACTCACCAGTATTAGATGACCAGATTCCCTTATCATCATCACCTAAATGAATAAAATCTAATACGCCATCCATGTACATGTACAATGTACAATGTACATGTACATGTATATGTACATTGTACATTGTGCATTTACATGTACATGTAGGTAGGGTTGATATTGGACTACAACAAAAAGCCACATACATGTACATGTACAGTCGATAATACATGTACATGTACTACAATGTACAAGCTCTATTGTATAAATATAAGTATTAAATAAGTATTATTCTACCACAATAAAAAACTTTCAAAGGGAAAAAATTTTCGTTCTGCATAAGTATCTTTCAGGAAAATTGCAAAAAATTAGATTAACAAAAAATTTGTGGAACAGTGAAATTCTTTAGCTGTGACTCAATAATGCCACACGTACATACAATGTACATGCGTACAGTGTCGATCATATTGTACCTTTAATAGATTGAGGTGTGGTATCAGTCCTTACTGTAGGAGTCATCATTCTACTTTGCTTTAGCTCTTCAGTTAGTTTCTCAACCTTTGCCTAAAACACAACAAAAAGATTTAATGTACACATGTACATGTACATGTGTTGGTTACCATTAGGACAATCTTTTCTTCTTCCACCTGCTCATATCTCAATGTACTTTCTTTATTTATTTCAGATATCAGTGCATCATTATTAGCAACTTCCCTAATAGGATAACAAGTAATTGTAAGACAACGAAGAAATTAAATGTTAATTGACATTTTTACAGCATTACAACTACATGTACATGCACATGTACATGTACGAGTATGTACAGATGATGTGTCTTACTGTTCTAGTGTTGCTATTCTGTCTTTAAGTTGAGCCGTCAGTTTCTGAGATTTCTGATTCATTTCAAACATCTACATGTACATGTATTATAGTGTTGTTCTAGTATGGAATTGTATTTTAGTTCTAGTTCTAGTTTTTAACTAAAAATATATTAATTTTAGTTTTAGTCCTAGTTCTTTGACAAGAAATACAATAATTTTAGTTCTAGTTCTAGTTCTCTGACAATAAATACAGCAATTTTAGTTCTAGTTCTAGGTTTTTGACTAAAAATACAGTGATTTTAGTTCTAGTTCTAGTTTTTTGACTAAAAATACAGTGATTTTAGTTCTAGTTCTAGTTTTTTGACTAGAAATACTGTAATTTTAGTTCTAGTTATAGTTCTTTAAACTAAAATTATGATAATTTTTGTTCTAGTATTAGTTTAGAACTAAAGCCTCCAATGCTTACGTTCCAGTTAAGTCATGCCGAAAATTGGAGTAATTTAAATACTAGTAGTAGCTCTTAACTAAAATCTTTTTTGTTATATTGCTGAGTTATGTTTCAAATGTACATCAAATGCAATATACACAAAGTAATAAGTTTTACTGCTGCCAATAAAATGATTGAAATGTCCCAGGTACAGTTTATATAAAAATGTAACAGCTAGGCTTGGGCTAAAAACATGTTCACCTGTTTATTGTAGTAGTTTGTAACCAATATTTTCAATTCTAGTATTAGTTCTAGTTCTAAGGAGGTTCAATAATTGTAGTTCTAGTATTAGTTCTAGTATTTCAGGATTAATAATTTGAGTTCTAGTATAGAGTTCTAGTTCTTCAAATAAATAATTTTAGTTCTAGTATTAGTTCTAGTACTTCAAATAAATAATTTTAGTTCTAGTATTAGTTCTAGTATTTCAGCTACAAAAAAATTAGTTCTAGTTCTAGTTCTAATATTTCAGCTACAAAAAAAATAGTTCTAGTTCTAGTTCTAGTTTTTAGAACTAGAACTAAGCAGAACAATAATTATTTAGTTCTAGTATAGAAGAACTAGAACAACACTAATGTATTATGTACAGTGTACGTATAAATAATAAACAACTCAAAGTGTTTGTCATTACTTTAGAGTGTAGTTGTTCATTCTCAGCTATTTTTGCTGCCAGTTCTTCTCCTTGGACATCAGGTAATAGCATTCCTCCATGATCCTAAGAAATATTAATTAGAAATGTCTAATTACAGTACTACAGTGTACATAACATTTTTTTATTTTCCATCACGAAATGGAGTGTTTCGAGGTCTGAAATCTTAAGAATAGCCACTAATTAAAGGTCTCTTGTGAATTTTATTTCTACTAATACCCATAAATTAAGTGTTATTCAAAAGAATTTTTATGAGTACATGCACATTCAAAGTCTTAAGTCCAGGCAATTTTGCATTACAGTATCACTCATCATTCACAGAATCAATTAAACATGGCATATATATGTACATGTACATGTATAATTACCTTTTTCTTTTTTCCTTTTGCTGATGATTCCAAGTCATCTTGAAGCGTTGAGACACGCTTTGACAACTAATCAAAATAATTATAAAAAACAAATATTAGCTTCCCTAGTACGTGACTACGTGTACATGTACCTGCTGATTACGAAAGCTCAATGATTCATTTTCCTGTGTATGTTTTCTAAGAGCTTGATCCTTTGTTCTTAACTCAACCTAAAGAATAAAAATGAACAAATGCACATACATATAGAATCACAATGTATATACATTTGTAGTATGGTGCGTGGGCGGATCAAAGGCGCCGCCAGTGCTACAACTTCCAATAACCGCACGGTAGGAAAATGTAGCACTGTGTGGAATATGTAGTACTGTGCAGTATAATATGTATGGGCTTTCCTGTTAACCACAAGCTTTGATAGAGGCAAATCACAGCCACAGCTACATACACTAGACATGTAATAATAATAATAGTGATAAATGATGATAAATATCGATCTGATCGTCTTGTCCTGGCCACCTGCGCGACTTTTGAAATTTCATTTGATCCGCCCACGCACCACTACAAACCAATCAAAGCACTGTTGATTCGTAGATTATGGAAATTATTGCACTCGGGACGGTCTCGACGAAAATGTAGCACTCGGCTTCGCCTCGTGCTACATTTTCCTCTCGACCGCCCCTCGTGCAATAATTTCCATAACCTACTCTCAACAGTGCTTTAACTAATACGTATCGCTGTATAGTGTACACAATACTACACATACAAAACTTTGCTCTACTTGTACATGCACACATAGAACTAAAGCAATTAAATGGTACTAAGGAGAAGTTTGATAAATTAGTTAAAAATAGTTATTTATACCTCTAACGATGCCTTTGCATTCTGTTCAGTTCTGACAGCTTGTTTGAGGACGTCAACTTGAGCTCTTAACTATAAAAAAGGTAATCATTTGATCAGATTCACATTGCATATATCTAAAACATGTATTATACATGTACATGCAAGTTTGATTAGGTTTTATAAAGCCATTTTTCAAAATGGGCGTGGTCGCCTACCAATTATAAACTTTTGAGGATACGCATACAATTCTAACGTTTGCACTGACAGTTATTACCTTAGCATATTCCTGTGCTAGCTTCTGATACTTGACCTGTAGCTCAGAACCCATGAAAAACTAGTGATTCTGCGAGCCGGCCTGCGACTTTCACAATTTCTATGGGCGGAGCAGCAAGTGTAAAAGACCACACCTTAAGATCACGCCCAAGCTTGAAACTCCACCCCACCACGTGTTGCCATCTGTTCCATTACTGACCACTAGAATAGAGCAGTTAAAGTATGTCGAGCCTCTTATGTTTAGAAGTCCTATTGTCTATTGATGTCCACCGTGTTCTAGGATTATCAACTATGGACAAGAACACAATGTAGTATTGCAGTTACAAGGTAAATAATCAGTAGAGGGACTAAGATTTTAGCAGTAAAACTTGGATTTTGAGAATATTGTTAGGAAATATATAGTCAAATACCATCATAAAGCTGGGAACTTATGAGGGATTTAGCTTTCATTGTTTAGATTTGTGAAATTGAAATTTTTAAAAATCTAGATAATACTGTACAAGATGGTGGAATGCTTTGATTTGCAAAACTTTAATCCACAAAAATGATTTTTGGGCGGATCAACAATAATTTAATCCCTGAAAGTTTTCGACTTTACAGTAGCAAAATAGGTGTGGTTTAAGTGTCATTTGAATTAATTAACTAATATGCAATGTAGGCCTTAAGGTTGCAGTGTTTAAGCCTACCACACTCACCCAAGCTAAATTTCATTTGCTAATAATTTATTATTTTATATTGCAAGTTATGGATGTAGTTTTAGTATATGCATTGGATTGATGAGTGGTTTGAGTTAATTACATGTATACAGTTGTATGTTTTTTATCTGTGCTTATGTTTTGCCTTATAATATTTTTACTAGAAATGTTATTTAACTTTATCGGCTGTTTTTATTTAAAATGGATTCTTGAAATGTAAGTTTACTATTATAATTATAGTCAGTTTTTGAGGTGCTTTATGTATATGGAAATAATTATGGTCTAATGTTTCATGTGAAAGCTTAGATTAGTATTCATTTGACGCTGTATTGCAATTTATTATTGGTGTTTTAATAATATTTTATAGCCTGTCTCTTTTGATTCTCTTGCCTAATTTTTTGATTGTTGCAATATAAGCTTTGCATATGTTTTTTAATGTTTGTATTTTCATTCTTAATATAATCAACTGATTCATACATGTATTACCGGTATTCTAGTTTTGCCAACTGGAAGTGCTATGTATTTTATTACAAATCCTTGCATTACATTATACACATGTTTACATTATTCAAGAAAGTTATCTGGCATTAGGACTTGGCAATCAATTGAAATTATACACAATAGTGCTTCTCATACATGTAAGAGTTTGTCCCAGTTATAAAAATAGCGACATGTACATGTACCTACATGTACATAAGCACATTACAGCTGGTTACTGTTTAGCTGGTTATTTTTGTGGCCTTAACATTTTTTCAAAAAAGATTCCAAATTTATAACTGTGTATTATACATGTAAGTGTACTCTTGTGTTTTTCTAGGAAGTACACAATGTACTACTATGCACTGTACTGCATTGTACTTGTACTACTATCAAAACTTTCT